AATACAGCAGACTGTGTGCTTTAGTAAAATTCTCTTGTGCTACAGAACAAATGAGTGTCCTGCAATAACCCCAAATGATCAATATTTTAAACAATAAAAACTTTTTTCAATGAACAATATGTTACTCCTTAATATTCCATTTGTTGTGTTCAATGGTGGGAGAAGGCAACAGCCTGGAGGAAAACAAAAGTTATATGTGAAAAAAATTATTTTAAACCAATTACACCAAAAACTTTCTTTCCACCACTTTATTTCTTAACAATTCTTGCATCCTATACTCGCCAAGTCTGTCTCCTTACTAATCTTCTCTTCTTACCCTTAAATTCGATTTGCTCTCTTCACCAATAGTCTCATTTGTTCAGTATCAAACCACCATGATGAACTATCCTTAACCTTAAGATTTACAGGCTGATCCTTCACATCTCATCATGGTAATCCTATGCTTGCTTTATCTATCCTTCAAACACCGCACATGTGACTTACTGTCCATTTCACTCCTTTAACTTTTTATTTGTCCATGCTCTAGCACCCAAGTCGTGCACGAGTGAAAGTACAACCACTCAATGTTACTCTCGAGCCATCTCATTTCCCATTTTTGTGCATAACCAAGGTTTTCATTTTATCTGCCACTTCAAGTACTGTACTTTAATTTATTGACCACTTCATCCCATTTGCGTCCTTCCTCCTTTCTTCACCACCAAAACTTTAGTTAATATTCATTCTCAGCAGTTTTCTTTCTTAGCCAAGAATTTTTGTTAACTTGCCAACATATACATCTCTACAAGAACAACTATCATTTGCATTCATCAGATTAGGTAATGTAATCCATTCATTCCTGCTCAATACTAACACCAATTCTTGAACAGTATCCTTGCCAAGACCCTTCTCATAGCCCTATACATATATTGTTCATTGAATGATCGAGGCATTACACAGCCATGGCATACTCCCAGGGCTGGTGCTTCCATTAGACCAACTAGGCACCTGCCTGGGACACAGCCCACAGATGGGGTAAAAAGGTTTTAAACTACATACAATTTTGAAAGGGTACAAGAAAATTTATTATTGTAAGCATACCTATGTATCATAAATGGTTTAAGCAAGTAATTATCAAAAGAAGGCACCAAACCAGGAAGTCTAAGTAGCACCATCAAATGTGCGGAATAATCAGAGGGCGCTAAATATCACCAAGGATGCCAATATGAGAACAGAAATGCACAAGGCGAACAATATCAAAATTATCCGATTCACCAAGAATTTTATCGAGGGACAAGCGACGGTGAGGGACGGTCAGAAAGCATAAATGGTTTAAATAAGGGATGAAAATAGGAGATGTCGCAGGTTGTGTTGCACTTGGCAGAGGTATGCATCTTACCAAACGCTATTTAGTTAAATTTGAGTCTTGTCAAAACTTTTTGTCATATTTGATAAACTTACCAAATATCCATTATAATTGTTGATCCAACCACACATCAGAAGATGGAGAAACGACAACGTTTCAGTCCGTTCTGGACCATTATCAGGTCTTGTTTGAGCTTGTCCAGGACGGACCGAAACATCGTTTCTCCATCTTCTGACGTGTGTTTTTAATTGTCATATCTTCAGCAATGTTATTGACTCGTCGTCTGCATCAATTATATTCATGTTCTAATTATTCTACATTTGAGATTTAAAACACATGAATGGCATAGGCCAAAAATTTATTAATTTAATTAATAGACTACAGTATTTAAGCTTTTCGTGTCTACATGTATTAGTTTGATACACAGCCATTAAATTTTGGGTATAAACAAAATGTTTCCTTCACAAGCACATCTAGACAAATTTAAATTTCATTTTCAAGCTAAATAAAAGTGCACTACAAGGGCTTGTTTGCTACTATAATAGTAATTATTCAGTTTAATAATCAAACCAAACCTAGCCTAACAATGCATTAGTCAGCAAAAAAAAAATTAAATGAGCTTAACATTTCTTATGATTTGTAATCATTTTCCTTCAGTCCCCTCTAGATTCAGTAGGTGGTTTGGTAGCATTTCTAGTGTTTTTAATTAGTAATAGAGCAGCAAATTGGGAATCACTTAGGGAAAAATGTCTTACTGTACAATGTACACATTTAAAGAAGACCATATAGTTACACTTTTAAACCATCTTGCATCCAATGAAAACAAAATTAGACAGTACATGTATTGAACGCAAACTGAGCCCTTACACACTGTAAAGGTTATCACAGAACACATTCTCTGTAGACATCCGTTGTTGCCCATTATTCTTGGGACCCAACCAACCTACTATTACTAGAGTGATGTCAAATTCTTGATGATGCATGTACACTGTATACAAATTATTATAACAACATTGGTAAGGTAGTACTGAACAAACATTAACAATGATTAGCAAATAGGTTTACAAGTTTCAGTGTTTCAGAACACGAGTTAGTTTAAGGCTAAGTTTCAATGTATTTGGTCAGTTATATAAAAGACACATGAACAACTGTGATGCAAGTGTAAACAACTGTGAGTAAAGTTATACAAAAACTACAGGTTTGTCACCTTACTATTCCACACCAAGATGTAGCTTCATAAAGACGAACATCAATAAGGCTGTGTATGAATATTAACATTTATCATGCATTGAGAGGTAGCAATGTACGGGTTGATTTATTGTAATGTAATAACATTTCAGGATAGTAATGAGACAGTAGGCTTGCTGTACAATGTTAACTCGGGAAAAAATGAATTAATTTTCAAGATTGTTAACACCATAAAGTCGAACATGACAAGCCCTGTACACCTGAAATATCCAGTTTAGTGACATTTGTTACATTGTTGTAATATACAACATGAAGACTTCTCAACTTTGGCATTACTACACTTAATTAACAAGTCAAGTTTGGTTTTTAAAACTTGCTTAGTGGTTTTACAAATTATACAATTGTGTTCCTGCAACATGATGCCACAGTGTATTGGCATGAGATCCCTACTCAACTATATGGAGAAAATTACATTAAAAAAATATACTGCACATAAATAGTTAAGAAAAGTAGTTCACGAGCCACCCCCCCATAATATTATCACTTTGGGTGGAAATACCACTTTTTTATTTTATAAAGCTATCTCTATGGATAGCTTTATAGCAATACAAAAATCATAAATATGGCAGCTTATGAATCCTTCAGGCTTTGAAACAAACCTTGGTAGTTCTCGGGGAAGTTAACCACTTGATTCATTACTCTTGTATCTAGGATATTGCTGTAAAATGGTTGACTTTTCTGACCACAAGTTTAACAATATACCCATATTCACTAAACAGTACAAGGATAAGGAGCTGGGGCTTGACAACTTGAGCTGATGTACTGGGTAACCGAGGTGAACAAGGAACTCTAGACGTGTTGGACTTCAGGAATTAGTATCTGCCTTACCTATGGGCCTAGTTGTGCATGTTTAGGTGCATTCACTACTTTTACATTATTACCTAATGAATGAAAATTTTGCTGTTTTACTTCCAAGTTAAACTCCATTATGAGGGACAAATGATTCACTGATGCACAGACTAGTTTCCTTTTTGGACAAATCTGTGAAACAAAATGGATATATATAATTAAGGGTTAAATGCCTTTCTTCAGTACATTGAACCAGCTCTCAATATTTAACAGGTTGATCATTTCCTTCACAAACAACTTTATTTGCTTGATGAAGAGGAGTTACATATTTACAAATAAGACTTTACACAAAATCAAAACTTGTTACTACACCTACTGCATGTTGTAGAAGCAAGACTTATGTTTGCTTTCTAGATTGATGTTATGTATTAGCTTTGCCAGTGATATTCCCTATTCTGTATGTTTTAAATGTGAAACATAATGGTCGGCAAATTCACCAAGATACTGGGCCTAATGCCTTCACTGGTTACACCACAGTGCTTTTACAGTTCATAAGACGTAGTGTTTTAGGAGCACAAGAATGATTCAACAAATTCTTGTCAATGGCTTGCCAATGGCATGTCACTGGGAATATATTTAGATCTGTTTTAATGATTAAATAGTGTATCCAAAACTGTTAAATACCAAATGCCCACACTAATGAGCTGCACTACAAAAGTTTGTTCTAAAGGGAGACTAGCCTTTTCAAATGCAGCTTCAAGCCAGGTATCACACATCCACAACAAGATTATGATCATACAACCATCCTCAAGCGAGTCTTGATGGACAACATTTGAACATTAACCTTCAAGAACCCAAAATAGTAATGAAGGTGTTACATGCGAACTAGAACATCCCTGCAAATTACCAGGCTGCACAAACCTCACCAATGGACTACCTGCATTGTTAAGTGAAAGTGGTAACCAGAAAAATCCAGAAGATTGATAAATAGGGAATCCAGCTGCATGAAGGATGATAAACTTTACCCCCACAATTTCTCTAAATTACTCCTAATTCAAAAACTGTTCTGTACTGAAATTCTGATCATTTTCTTTTTATGTCAGCAGTAAATTAGTAAATTATTACTGCTGTTTAATTATGAATTCTTTACTCTTTGCCATATGAAACTGACTAATTTAGTACAATAGTTTCACCAATATATGTCTTTAGCAAAAGTGTGCATATTCTGACTGACTGTTAAACAGTTGATAGAGACTGTTGATAGTACTGGAGGTCAGGTGTTCGAGGCTCCTATTGCCCAGGTCAATGAAATTAATGAAATTATTTATTATAATATATATATTATACCTGCATTATAAATATATAAATTATTATATATATGACTGTCAGACCACAGAGGAAAATTTAAACAGGAATTTCCTTAAATACTTTCGTATATTAATACATCTTCAGAAGGAGTCAAGGAGTACTCCTTCTGAAGATGTATTAATATACGAAAGTACTTAAGGAAATTCCTGTTTCAATTTTCCTCCGTGGTCTGACACTGTCACATTTTTAATCCTGTGTTTATTTTTCGTGATTTACACACACACACACATATATATATATATATATATATATATATATATATATATATATATATATATATATATATATATATAAAATTTCTTTTTCTAACCATGAACTAATTGCTGTTATGTTATGATGATCTTTAAGATACTACAAATTAGGCAAGGAAGGTAGGCCTCGGTGCTTAATTAATTTAACATGACTAGAGGGACTACATTACAGCCATGAATTACATAAAAAAATTCTGGCAAATTTTGTACTAACAATATTTACGAATAACTTGAGCTCATAGTTCACTTCGTTGGCCAATGTTCTTCACAAGTCTCTGGATCATGTCAGCAAGACTCCTGAACAAAGCATGACCTCCATCATCATTGTCCTGAAACTGTTCCTTGTATGCCAAATCATCATATGTATGAGCCAGATGTCTCAGCAGAGGCAGAGCTTCGTAAAATTGGTAGCGGCAGACATTTACCATGCTGCCCATAGCTGCTATCACTTTGTCCACCTGTAATGGTAATGCAAAATATTATTACAAGCTCATTTCTTTAAAAGCAGACAACTGCAAAGAAGTAGAAAAAAAAACCAAGCCAGTATGGCTATACAGCACTGTACATCACAATGCCAATCACAAATGTGTGAAAAAACTGAAAATCTTTACAATAGTAGAACAATGTAAGCTAACCTATATTAAATTAATTGTATTCACTAAGGATTTTATCAAGACATTTGGTGTAAAGGGACAGTTAGGGAGGGGGAGGGGGGAGAGAAGAGGGCGATTCTGATAATCCTGAAGTGTGGGACAGTCTACTAGATGTACACCTAAGCACCACATTGCCATTTTAACAGTAAAGGGCACATTTCCATTCCACAAAGTACTCATGAGATTAACTTGTATAGTCAATATATAGTTCCCATTTTCCCTCAGAGGTTCCCATTTTCTATTTTTGATATAAGGACCAAGGAGTTATGCAATAACATTTATTACAAAGCTGTAGCTAGCCAGGTGCATTTTCAACAATTGCACATAACATTTGGAGCCAGGGGATAAATATGAATAGATGATGGTATTTTGGGAGACGAGATACATAATAAGTACCCTGGCAACTGGCATAGCTATTGGTGGATGTTTGATGCAACTAGATAATGAAAATCTCCCCCATCCACTGGTCTAATTCAGTAGGAAGGTCAAGGGACTAGAGGTTCGTTATTTAGCCAGGTTATTTGATTCAACACCAAAATGACTGGGTACCAGCAAAGTTTATTCAGTCTTGTATCTGTTAAACATTAGATTCCATAAATTAAAATACTCTAGAACCATTAGAGTTGACAACAATAACAAATGGGTATAGACTCAAAAAATTAGCTTCATAGAACATTAGAAACTACTGTAAGTTTTACTGTTAAAATGCAGTACGTGTTTGAGGAAAGGAAGCACATAAGAGTTGTATTGGGGAAAATAAACGATAATCCAACATCTGGAGATTTTGAACCGCTCATAAAAATAATTGTAGATTGTGAATTCTAATGAAAATGTTGAAGGAAAAACTCTTCAGGGTAGTGTGAGGGGTATTGGGTTTAAAAACCTTCATTAATTTTACAATTGGGACTACATGGACAATTGGAGTGACATGGTGTGGGGAAACATTGTGAAAATATATATTGTACCCTTAAATATGCCATTCTTGCATTAAAAGAATGCATAACATTGTATAGTACATATGGTTCGGAACAACTGCACTGTGTAAATGATATAAAGGCATAAAAATGGATATTGAATGGGTCTTGCATAATAATTAGGGCATTACAGTTCACAATGGTCCTACAATGGAACATTGGTTTTGATACAAACTATGGACTGGGGAATCTAAACCAACTTACATGTACTCCAATATGATACAAGAATACAACAACAGAGCAATATCCATAATAATAATAATAATAATAATAATAATAATAATAATAATAATATGGTGATCAAGAGCAAATGTAGCTACACGTATCAAACTTTCATATCGAACAATTTCAGTACGATCCTAACAATTTGATCAGTGCACCGTATCACCATACAACTCCTTGCCCCATTTATTCATAATTTGCTATTAACCCACTCTTTTTTTCAATCTTTTTTTTTAATGCAATACATAATGCACTTCATTTCTGACTTACTGTATCATGATCTGGTCTCAACGGCAACTCATTCCTTAAAGCTGCACCCATATCATATCGCCGGTCCCTTCGGTCAAAAGAAGCGGCAGCTAATAATGAAGATACAGCGGGACACCACCCTCCTGTGGCAAGTTGTTCATTTATGTTGAATCGGATAAGTTGTTGCCGTCTTTCACCTTCCGCTTCCTCTCGCTCCACTAAAAGGTCATGAAGAAGAGACACCACCTAAAGAGATTAATATTTTTCCATTAGAAAGTCTATTATTATATTATTCTGTTATTAGAAAGAAGCAATACTAAGCTCCTTAATTCATATAAGCACAAACGACCTTGTGATGGTTACAGTAGGGATAGTGATTCTGCAGAACCCTGCCCACAGTTCCCAAGTCAGGATAATTGAGCAATCTTCTAAAACGTCAACACCCCTTGGCAGCACAATCATGATGTCTAATGATGGACACCAAGCGAGGTGCTCTGTCAGATTTATAAGTGCAAGCTCCTTGGATCTTTTTCAGAATATTGTATACAGTACCTTGAGAAAGGATATAGGTTACATTTAAAAGAATTTGGTTTACACTTCAGCGCACCTGGGTCGTAAATAAACGACGCGTAAATACCGGTATTTTGACTACTAGTTGCTGTAGCGTCGTAAATTTACGTGCGATTAAAAAATATTTGTATACCTGGTTAATACCTGGTTGATGGGGTTCTGGGAGTTCTTCTACTCCCCAAGCCCGGCCCGAGGCCAGGCTTGACTTGAGAGTGTTTGGTCCACTAGGCTGTTGCTTGGAGCGGCCCGCAGGGCCACATACCCACCACAGCCCGGTTGGTCCGGCACTCCTTGGAGAAATAAATCTAGTTTCCTCTTGAAAATGTCCACGGTTGTTCCGTCAATATTTCTTATGCTTGCTGGGAGGGTGTTGAACAACCGGGGACCTCTGATGTTTATACAGTGTTCTCCGATTGTGCCTATGGCACCCCTGCTCTTCACTGGTTCTATTCTGCATTTTCTTCCATATCGTTCACTCCAGTATGTTGTTATTTTGCTGTGTAGATTTGGTACTTGGCCCTCCAGTATCTTCCAGGTGTATATTATTTGATATCTCTCTCGTCTTCTTTCTAGTGAGTACATTTGGAGGCCTTTGAGACAATCCCAATAATTTAGGTGCTTTATCGCGTCTATGCGTGCTGTATATGTTCTCTGTATTCCCTCTATTTCAGCAATCTCCTCTACTCTGAAGGGGAAAGTGAGTACTGAGCAGTACTCAGTACTCACTTCCCCCTTCAGAGGGAAAGTGAGTACTGGTAAGTGTATAAAATCCAATTCTTATTCGATCGACTTGGGGATAGTATGAAAATGTTTGCCATTAAATTTCCGTTTTCTCTAATAGGCACATGGCCTATTTGGGAGAACGGCATTGTATTGTAACTTAGTGGAAAGACTATTGTATTGTTGCCACAGCGAGTGTAATCGCCCACTTCACACACTCTTGGTGTGGGCCCCGATCATGATTCTACATTTATATATGCATATGTCCGTGTAGGGAATTTAACTGCGATCACAGTGATACCAAATTTAACGCTGTAGGACAAGTGTGGAGTTGACAACCCTGTAAAGAATAGAAACATTTCGTCGCTGTTTGGAGCTCACGGCTAGTGATCGATGTAGTTCTTTAGCTTTTTGTGTGATTTAAATCATGCTTTGGTGACATATACATATGTTCTTATATGTTCTTATAGATCATTCCATTGCGAACACATTGGTATAAAAATGAAATCTGTACATCGAAAATTAAGGTCAGGACAGCGAAAACAGTATGCACTTTTCAGTGTTGCCTCTCGGTCACCCGAAAACGTCGAGCGCACCTGGGGGTACGTCCAGTCCATTTCGTGGAGGGCGTGAAGGTGATAAATTATTAATACACTAACAAATTGAGTCTCTCATTCACCATCATTTCAGCACTACAGCTTTGTAGTAAGTTTCTCCAGAAAGTCTAATGTAAAACAAAAATGTATAAAACTCAATACATTGACCCCTTCTTCAAAGTACAATGTTTTGTTTCCTTGTTTACCTCAACATTATGTCATACTTTCAGAAAATATCATTACCCCTTACCAAGGTTAAGAATAACTTGTCTAGAAAGCAGTCCCTCGTGGTGCAGTGGTAACACACTTATCAATAGAAACTGCACTACATTACAAGTACCGCCCCCCTACATGTAGGAGGGAGTAGGGGTACACAGGTTGTTTTTTTCTTGTAACTCCCCTCCCCCCAACCCCCTGCTCATGCCTTGGCAAAAGTTTGTGTGGCTGTATTTATTAATTTTATTTCAACCATAAATTCCTCTTGCCAATCCTCTATTATGTCTACTACATATATTTCTCTCAAACACACGCACACACATCCCCAGGAAACAGCCCGTAGAAGCAACTCCAAAGGTACCTATTTACTGCTAGGTGAACATAGACATCAGGGTGAAAGAAACTCTGCTCATTCAATCTAATGGTCTATGCAATGTAAACTAAAATTATTTGTTGCTGCCCTACACCCTGATCCCTCTTAAAATTCTTAGATAATAATTTTCCCTCCTAAATTTTGGTCTACAGGAATTCTACCAAATCTGAGGGGTTGTGCAAGGTCTGATGTTTGATATGAAATTATTAACTACTCATTAAACACTGCAAATTTACATAAGTATTTCATATAGATGTTACATCTAATAATGCTAAATTAAATTTAATGGCAACAACTTAACACTTTCGCGCTTTAGATTAGAGATGACTCGTTGCCGTTTTTTCTTACGATTCCGCATAACAGCCTACTTTTGTAGTCCATCGAAAAAATATTTCTATAAATTCCATTTTCTAACCGAAATGGATGGGGATACTCTCAGATTTTTCTCCATGTAATAGTTTTCATGGAGTTTCATTCATGGAGTTTTCATGGAAATAGAAATCATGTTATAGTTTGGAAGGACAAGCGCCCCGTCTCTGTCATCACCAATATCCACAATGCCGACACTACTCTAGCACAGCGCAGGAAACGCGTTCGTAAACGTGACAGGAGAACTGGAGTAGAAATTGTGAAAATGAACAAACCAAAGGCCATAGTGGATTACAATAAGTTCATGAAAGGTGTTGATCATTTTGATCAAATGGTCAAATATTATGAGTTTGCAAGAAAAACTCACAAATGGACCAAGAAGATCACTATTACTCCAGTGCATCCAAGAAATAGAAGAATTATAGATTCAGAACAACGTCTCAACTACAAGTTGACGCATGAACTCGTGCACTTGGCTGAAAAAAGAAGATGCCGTGTTTGTTTCAAGTCTGGCAAAAGGAGGGACGTGATATATGGATGTAAAACTTGTGATGTGGCACTGTGTGCTGCGCCTTGCTACACAAGGTACCACCGAAGAAAGATATTTTGGGTGGAGAAAAAATAACCACCGGCAACAGCTTCACTCCACCTAAGAAACATCAGATGAGCAACTTCAGGATCAGAAGCCTGAAGATGGTGGAGTGAAGAAAAAATGCTCAACTGTTGATCTTCAATCAACATAGACAGGGTAAGTACACCTATTTGGAATTTTTTATCATCTATAAGAAGTTATATTATATACGTTTTGTAGAGAATTTATCTGCAAATTTTTTGGTACCAGAATGAATATTATATCACAAACTTCTATGAGTAAAAAAAAAAAAACACAAAGTATGTTTGGGGGTGTGGCGGGTGTGTCTCTGGGTGTGGCGGCCGTGTGGCAGTGGGTTCCCTTTAGCCGTTGATATATCCAACACGTGGGAAATATTTGTATGTGTTATGTATATGTCTGTGTAGGGAATTTTACTGCGATCACTGTCATACAAATTATAAAATGTTTCAACAAGTATAAACATGACAAACATCAAACGAACGAAAACAATGCGTTCGTTTCTGCCGCGAACGCATACTGAGCGACGTGGTTCTATATTTGGCGCTTCTCTTACACATGCTTTGTACAATTGTTATACATTTCATCTTATAGAAAATTTTATTGCGAACACATTGGTATAAAAAAGAAATACGTACATAGAAAAGTAGGGTCAGGAAACGTATAAATGTATAAACTTTCCAAGCATGATTTCCCCCCCGTGTTTTCGCCAGTGCGCTCGCGGCTAACTACTCTCCACTTCACACACTCTTGCGGGTGGGCAATTACCTATATTAAACATTCATATGCATATGTCCGTGTAGATAATTTTATTGAGATTCCAATGATACCAAAATTAGCGATGTAGGACAACTGTAGGCTTCGCAACCATTAAGAGAGTGGAAACATTTTGTTGCTGTTTGGCGCTCTCGGCGAGTGATCTGCATAGTTTTTTATTTGGTGTTGATACTCCTTATGCTTGGGTGGCATTTTATAGGTATGCTCTTATAGACAATTTCATTGCGAACACAGTGATACCAAATTTAAATACGTGCGCCTTCAATTATTGTCAGGACAGTCAAAAGAGTGTACACTTTTTCGGTCTTACAGCGTAGGCGCGCGAAGTGCCGAAAGCATCTGGGGTATTGTTTTTTTTTGAGCGCCGAGAGCGCGAAAGTGTTAAGTAAATTTTGATTATTGCTTTTCTGTAAATATTTTTATTACAATAAATACTATAACACATTTGAAATATTTCTCAATGTACAATAAATAATGCAAATGGTCTAATTACATTGAAGGTGATAAGAACATTTTGCACGTTCATTAATGTATGAACAATCTTACTTTTTTATATAATCTGGAACAAAAAAAACTGACCTTAAGCTGGAGAGGCAAACTTCGAAAATCTCTTCGGTCAAACACCTTGCGTAACACTTCCAGCCCCCCATGTTGTACCAGTACTTGTTGTCCATGAGGAAACCCTCTCACCAAGCATGATAGTGCAAACAAAGCCTTTCGTGCAACTCCTTCCTGCAAATGTAGTTAATTTATTTTGGCTGGTGTATATTCAATATAATCAGTCATCACGATCTGAATTTCTCTAAAATGAATCGATAAAGATGTTGGCATTCATTTTGACATGGTAATGCTCATAGGAACTAAAGAGGCCAATTACAGCAGAGTGAACTTGCACTCTGAACAAGGAAGGCGTTTCTAGAAAAACATCTAGCACAGCACATATTTGCATAGGGCCATAAACTTGATATTGGAAAAAGGGGGGGACAGTGTCCTAAAGATCTTCCCTTCCTCTATTCATAAAATATTACACAATTATTCAACCCTCATGCCACTTTTCAGCCATAAATATATAAGGATAAGGTTGTCAGTTAAATATGATGCTACATCGGCGAATGAATGTTTTGTTTGTGAGGAAACGTTCTCTGGTTTGGTTCAGGAAATTTCAGAGTTAACTTCTCTGTGGGTCGCTCGTTAATCTCTTCAGCAGTGCCAATTTTCTTCAAAGTTTTTTCATTACATTCAGTTTTTATGTAGAGTACAGTACATACAGTACATAGCCAGGACTTTACAGTAGTGTATTATCAGTGACCTGAAAGATCTCTACTACAGTATTTTCACCACTACTGTACTTGCCTGCACCTGGTAGCAAGTGGCTGCACAGTGTCTTCATTTTAATTAAAAGATCACCACCGCCCAACAGTTAGAAAACCGAAATACCAGTTAAGAAAATATTGTGCATTTTTAGCCCAATTTTTACTTTATTTCAATACTTATTTTGCTGTTTATTGTAACAAATGTGCAACAACAAAACTGTAAAGCTTTTTAAGTGAATGAACTAATCCCCAATATATGTAGTAAACAATGAAAACAAATTGCACCAGAATTTTCAGTAAATATTGAGCATTGACATTATTCATGTATGCAGATACCATTTAGTAAAACAAGCTAGAACTTCTTTCCTCAATACAATAAAGCAGAAAGAGAAATGCTTGCACTGTTTAATAACCAAGATCTTTCCATTGGTTCAGAGGATGTAATCTTATACATGTTTCAACAGCATGCATTTGTATTGAGATGTATTGGAATTGGTCAATTGAGTATCCAGATAATGGAGTGCTTGATGAAGTTATTACAGTATAATTATACAGGTACAATATTAATGAAATGGGGAAGGGAGGGGGGGGGGGGGGGGAAGAGCACATTTAAATCAGCAATGTGGCCATACATCACAGGTGCCGTGCCCTGCCCTGCCCTAGTTATGAAGAGCATAACTAGATATATAATTTAACCCTGTAACCTCAACATTACAGTGCTTATAAATAACTTTTTTTGTCTGAAAATCTTTCAAGTTTTTCCAGTTTAAATGTATGAATATACTGTTGACCAAACCCGCACACTAGAAATTTAAGAGAAAAGAAGTTTTGGTCCATCCTGAACCGTTATCAAGTCGATTGTGTCCAGGACGGACTGAAACGTCGTCGTCGTCTCCAATTTCTTGTATGTGGTTTGGTCAACATTTTTCAGCCACGTTATTGTGACTTTTCATCTGCATATGAATATACTTTAAATGCCCCATATATGCACATGGTTAACTAAATTAAAAGTAAAAAAAATCACACTGCTCATCAATTATACTCTTTACTTTAAATCACTTGGGGCCCACCCTCCATTCAAGTTAACCAACTTTTTACGGTACAGTACTGGGAACATCCAAAAATGAACCAACTAATTTATTAAAGCTTCTCCTTTGGTATAACCTTTTAATCCGCATTCCCATCTGGGCGCAAAGATCAAAATGGGTCGCAACAAAACACGAATTCAGATGGATTACTTTGAGATTCAGGTTACAGGAATCTGAATTATGGAGATCATATGAAATTATGGGGAGTACAGTATTCTCATTACCCAGTTTAGGTTAAAAAAATTAATCTGTGTAACCTACTAAAACAAAGCTGTTAAGAATATTAGCTCAAAAAAGTATACTACAAGCCTAATTTAGGCATAATATTTATAAAATGCAAAAAAAATGGCATCAGTATACATTACTGTATACAAAATATATTTTATATTTAGTATACGTTATATTGTACTGAATATAAAATATATTTTATATTTTGTATATACAGCAGTATAAATATAAAATACACAAAATGTATACACATATATAAAATATACGAAACAGACCTGACCTGTGAATCATATGCCACGGTGCGGATTAGTGTCTGCACTAAACCAGCTTCCACAGCAGCTATTTGAACCTTTGGATTACTTTGAACTGCTGATCCCAACAGATGGAGTGCATTCTGCTTTACAGAGTCACTGGTGGAATTTATTGCAGTTACTACAATCTGTTTAAGACCGCCTGTAATCGAGAACAAAAGTACCATATAAGATTAATTTTAAAAAAATTAAATGTAGAACTATAAATATTACTATTGGTATTAATATAGTTTATGATATACAACATTACTAGGAAAATATTCTCCTGAACATTGAATTTAAATCCTGGTAAAATATACCTCCTGTTAATACAATGCTTTTTAACATAGCCCATAAGGCCTATGGCATACAACATGGCATACAACAAGTAAATGCAGTTCATCAAATACTGCTGCCAATTTGTTGCTTTCAAGAAAAATTTTCACTATACACCATAGTACACAGTTAAAAATGCAAATATTTTAATTCAGGATAATGGAGGGATAAAATAAATTTTTAAATTACAAATTTTATAATAAATTTGCTTGTGATGCTTTCAATAAGTTTATCATCAAGCATTCTTAATTCATAAAAAAAAACCTACTTGTATGAAAAACTTTATCAGACTTTAAAGTCTGCAAGTTATCCATCGAGAAATAATTTATAACACAAAGCAACAAACAGCAATTCACAAGAACGTGAACAAAATCTAATTTTGTGCTAACTCATGGGTGGCATGGCATACATTTATGAATGTTTTAATTACTATAAGTAGATTTAAAAAAAAAAATTAAAGAATAATACATTATTCAGTGGTTACAATATAATTTGTTTGGAATCAACGATCAAGCAGCTAGCGACATCTTAGAAATAGATACAAATGTTCCTTTATATAAAATGTTAATAATAACTATTACAGTTATGTTCGACACCAGAGTAAGTAAATGGTCATACAACTTACCCATGTCAACAAAGTTAACAGCATTATCTAACTGATGAACAAGGTATTCTAAATCTTCAAGAATGGTAATGCGATCATCATCAGTTGCAGCTTTGCTGTACTGTTCCATTAATCTTGATATTATTTCAAAATCAGTTTCCATTGTGAGATTCAATTCATCAAAGTCTTTCTTTAGTTCTTTGTATGAACGAAACTTTTCCCGTTTTTTTGTTGTTTCCTCCTTAAGCTCCTACAGAAAACAAATGTGTATACTGATTATTAAAAATGTTATTTCCTAGAACAATTTTGAAAATATAAAGGGTCATCTATAATCTAGGGAAGATAATGAAGCACACACTTTACTAATCGATTAAAACCTGCATAGTTTCTGAATGTACAGAATAGTACTACTGTATATTATCAATTACTAAGGGCCACATACAACCTTATGGTTTTCAAAAATAAGTTGAAGTTCATGCACAATGGGGGTAAAACAAGAACTACTTTATTTGGCTTGGTTCCTGTCCATAGTTCAAATACTAGCAATTAGTCAATTCAATACCATGTTATCATTTTATTCCTGCAGTTGACAATTGCTAGATTTATATGGCATCACCCCATTCATTCTACCATTTTATTTTCTCTCTCATAGTCCTTACACTGCTCCTGCTGCCCTGTGAGAGCAGTGCAGTGGGAGCAGAAAGAGGCAATATGATCACTACGTATAAAATAGTAACAGGAATCTACAAAATTTATAGGGAAGAATTACCAAGGCCTGAAACTTCAAGAACAAGAGGGCATAGATTTAACCTAACTAAAGAAAGCTGTCATAAAATATGAGAAAATTAACTTTCATGGCTTGTAATCATACCTCAGTAAGGAGGCACTGTACTGTACAACCGAGACTAATATAATAACAAATGATAGAAAATATAGCAAATCATTTTATAAACTATAGATAATTATAAAAAATAATAACTTACCAAAGTAGATTCTGCATTATAACAAAATATGAACACTCACCTCTGAGGTCAAACTCTCATCACTTTTAATATTTTTAAGAGCTTCAATTATATTCTCCCTCATCAATTCAGCTCTCTTACTTTCCTTAATTTTATCTTTAACATTTAAGTCCTGGGGTTTGGGAGTGTCAGGGGAGACCACCACCTCAGTTACTGCCATGTGTCCGGTCTTGTGCAGTCGCTCCACAGACTCTTGATACTCTGACCCGTCGTCATCATCCATGAGCTTTGCCTCTTTTAATCCTGTTTCAAGATTTATCCGAAAGTGAAGACCTGGTAGTACCACATGATCTGTAAATACAATAATGCATTAACATTAAAAATTCAAATACTGAATTACTTAATGCCCAAAATCTTTGTCTTTAGTGAAAGAACTTGGATTTTAACCCTTAGAGAGCTGTTATCATCAATTGTTGATTTACAGGGTACTGCAGTTATCATATGAAGATTTTAAAAATTATTGTCTGGGTTTTACAAGTATGATGCATATATGAATATAATAGGTCTATGTGGATGTAACGGAGTTTACCTATTAGTAGAAACACGATAGAAAGCAATCTGTGGAAATCAAAGCCTACCTTAAAAAACTTACCTGGTTTTATAACTTGCCACTCTTTAGTAGGAATGAAAACTTTGCTTATATCAACAGGTTTTTTTGACTGAGTATAGTCTTCAACAGTTACTTCACTCTCCTGGTCCTGATCATCGTCTGTATCAACAACAGCCACCTGACTGTCTTGACTTCGTGCATCTGCTATCAGCAACACCACCACCACCACTGTCAGTAGTATTCCTAGTATCCACTTCATTTTTGCACGTTCAATGATGTTATATACTGTAATGAATTAAAAATGGATTTCAGTTATGAGTGAGTATGGTATTGTGTTAAGAAATACTGTTGCTTCATATATTACACATAAGCAGCCCATTGTTAGTAAAACTGTGGCCCTGCTCCTGTGCCAGGCAAGTCTACTACAGGCTCACCATAGCCCATGCTACTTGGAACTTTTTGTTCCAAGTAGCTGAATCTAAACAGCAAAACTGTAAAATGGAGAGGAGACTGAAATCCTTTCTGAGAAGGAGGGGGAAGGGGAAAGGAAACTATCAGGACAAAGTGCCAAACCACTACGACAATATAGAACTTGGTAGGTATCAGGATAAGAAAGGTTGGGGAGAAGGCGGGCTGAACGCCTGCCTGGGGAGGAGGCGATGGCGGAACGAACGCCTGTCTGGGGAGAAGGTGAGGGCAAAATGATTGCGTCCCTCAGGAGCTAGTGGGAAATGAACACCTACCTGTGGAGAAGGGGGAAAAAGTAAACGGTCGTCCAACAAGGGGAAGGGAAACATCAGGAGAAAGTGCCAAACCATTACGACTATATAGCACTTGGAAGGGACCAGGATAAGGATTTGAGATGGGACTTATTTTAGTTACATATATATACAATTCTTACATTCTTGTAAGGCAACTAGCACACAGTGTTTCAGGCAAGTCCTTAATCCTAATTTCTCCCGGAATGCGACTCGCCAAATCGTTTAACAACCAGGTACCCATTCACTGCTGGTGAACAGAGGTTACAGTTAAGGACTGGCACCCAGTCAATCCTCCCCGGCCAGGATACGAACCCAGGGCAAAGCAGTCGCAAAGTTCTGGGCGAGTGTTTTACCACTGCACAAGGGTGGAAGGAATGGTGCCCAACCACTTGGACGGTCGGGGATTAAACGCCGACCTGCATGAAGCGAGACCGTCCACCCCAAGTGGTTGGGTGTCGCCCGAGAAGAAAGGGGGATTCAACACCCCACCAAGCAGGGAAGGGGGAAAATATATGCCCACCTGAGATGAAGAATGGGGGGGGGGAGAATATGACCATCTGCCAGAGAAGGGGAAGAGGAAGGGAAGGGAACTATCTGGGGAAAGCACCAAGCCATTAAGACTATATAGCAGGAGGGGAGAGGAATGCACGCCCCAGGTTGGAGGAACACAAACTATCAACATAAAGTTATGATATTTACTGTAATTCTTCGGTTTAGCCACAAGTCAGCGAAAATAATAACTTACAAGGTACCTGTCGTGACGTGTGCCTCGTGGTTCCCCTTCACTTGTGTCAAGATGAAGTGAAAGAGTCTTGTTTTACAACTTGATTGACACTTTTATATATTTTCCCAGGGCCAGAAAACACTACAGCTTCAGGAAAGTCTCCCACAGTGACGTGACGGGTGAGGAGACAGAGGAGAGGAGTGTAGTGGCGAGGTAAGGGTGAGAGAGGAGAGTAGTGAGGGTGTGTGAGTGTGGCCGGGGCCAACCCTCGCCTCACACGTCACTCTTGTTGCTCTAACAACGAGCCTAATACATCACCCTCACACTACTCCCACACTCACATTATCCTCAACAATAACTACCACTGTCTTCATCATCACATTATATTATTTACAAAACTTCAGCCAATGTCATTAATTAGCAATAACTAAGACCAGGGAGCAAAGATGCGTTAATAAATTTAGTTTTCTATCTCCTTATTCATTACATTCTCCACTAATTTTCAGAAGCTACCCTAAAGTTTATCCATTATAAGTGATGAGTTTATTTTTTGTATTTAGTGTTCGGTGAGTAATGGGGTGATGGGGCTAGGAGGGGGGTGAAGGGGAAGACACCATCACATCACCGTAAACATCGTCTGGGAACGCCGGGCCGCTCACCTTCCACAGATTGTCCACTATTACGCCTTCAAAATGTTTTCCTTTGATTTTCTAGATGATTTGAGACGAATGAACATACGTCAGGTGGGTGTGGTGTGTATGGGGGGAGAGAGAGGAGTGAGTAGGTGTGTGTGGAGGTGGTGTGTGTGTGGGGTGCCTTGGCTGGCTGGACACGTTGTCATATGGCACTTCTGCCACACGGTCAGCTGGACACGTTGTTTTATGGTACATCTGTCACATGGTCAGCTAGGCACGTTACCATATGGCACATTTGCCACAGGGTCAGCGGGGCACATTGTCTTATGGCATATCTGCCACACGTTCAGCTGGGCACGTTGTCATATGTCACATCTGCCACACGTTCATCTGGACACGTTGTTTTATGGCACATTTATCACATGGTCAGTTAGGAAAGTTGTATGGCACACGTGGCACACGACCAGCCCATATTGATGGCCAGTTTATAGAAACACCCAAAGATTAGGGGCATGTGTGTTGTTCCCTGGATTGGGTTTGCTGACATTGGTTACCCGAGAGATGCAGTAGTTTCCTTCAGTGCTCCTAACCTTGATAACGTTCAGTTTTACATTCAAGTACTGTAGTTCATTACACTGTAAATACAAGTGTACAACAACAGAAGTTATTTCTCATGTATTCACCTAGTTCATCCCCCCAGGAAGCAGCCTGTAACAGCTGTCTTAACTCCCAGGTACCTGTTTACTGCTACGTAACAGGGACATCGGGGTGAAAGAAACTCTGCCCAATTTTGTTTCTCGCCGGCACAGGGAATCGAACACAGGCCACAGGATTACGTGTCTAGCGTGCTGTCCACACAGCCACCGGCGCCCCATTGCTTGTGCCAAATTTTTTTTGTTATTGTGGCCGACTGTGTTCTCATGGCTTCTAGCCAAGGGTTAAGTGACTAGGAGCCATGAGAAGTCATCCCGTGGTAATCAAAATCCAACATTTGCTATTCCTCATTTTTACCATATATATAAGACTAAAAATTAGCTTAGTTTCCAGCTCTATTGGTGTTACCTCAAATGATCTTGTCTACATAGTCATACTGGCTTAGCATTTTGTTCTAATAATTACCTTACCTTACCTTCAATGGTCTTAGACACTAGTACTAAGGAAGCATTTGATCTTGCCTCATCTCCAAAACAAATAATTTATTCAGATTTCTACTTCATAATGCAGTCCACAACCATTGGAGGAATAGATGGTTAGCCGTTACTAATTCCAAAATATTGTACGTAATAATAGGCATCCATCAGTCTCAGGAGACTATGGAGTTGCACTCCGGTTGTCGGTCGCTCAAGGGCGCAAATCCTGGGTAGGTTGATACGGAGGAGAAGCTGTCACCCATGCAGCAGGTCCTCCCCCCATCCTCTCCACAAGGTATAAAATAGAGGGTTATAACAAAAAAATCACTTGTGCATGCAGTATATACAATGCATACATTGAATAACCTAACTGGTGCCAGTACCTACCTGACCCAACATAACTATATGACTATCATTGCAAACATTGCTGTTATGGAAGGTCAAACACAATCCTTTATTTCATCAGACATGGCCAGCAAAAGCACTAACTTCAACACTTTATTATTTGCTATAAGGTTCATAAAGGAAATTATAACCAAGCAACAGTACTATTTGCTATAAGGTTCATAAAGGAAATTATAACCAAGCAACAGTACTATATGATTATAGCAAAGAAAGCTATTAGTAATGCATTCAAAAGTTACACCTGCCACGATAAAGATGGAGTTCACACACATTCTAATTATGAATAATGAAGAGTTGTGAAGAAGCTAGTTTTCATATCCATTTGTACACTGACTACTTTGAATAGTAAAAGAAAACAAGTGCACTTTTGGGGGGATTATTAGAGGATGTCCTTAAATAACTTGCTATGAGTAATATTTAATTCACAACCACATTGTGCACTTTGTATTTATTTTTTACCCTTATTTATATACACAATCAGCCATCATAGTTATTAATATTTCTATATAGATAATGTACAGTTTTTTAATATTCTACATCATTTACTTGTTTATACAGTACTAAAATAATGTACTCTTACATGTATTGGCCCTTTTTCTTTTCAGCTCTTCTACCAAGTGCTGAACTTTGCTATGATAGTTTCATCAGCGCTTATGATTTGGAAGGGATTGATGGTTGTGACAGGCAGTGAAAGTCCCATCGTAGTGGTACTCAGGTATGCTTTTATCACTTAAACATGTCAGTGGAAAACTTTCTACTAGTATTTAATAGGCTAGCAATCAGAATTGTACATTAACACTGCCTCCAAATACTTACTGTATATTGTCTACAGTATGTGCTAATGTTTGGGGGATAACCTCTCATAATTATTTCTTGCCTATGACATTCAGTATGTCATAAACAGCTTTCAGATATAGTACTGTATACTGTATTGTATTTTAACTGACATTTCATACCAGGATACCCTTATTAAGGTAATATAGTATGATAAATTTTGAAAAAAATGCATGGTAGTAGATTTAAAATAATGTAATACAGCATAGTTTTGTATACTGTACTATGCTTATAATTGCGTTATGTACATCAGTGGGAGCATGGAGCCAGCATTTCATCGTGGTGACCTCCTTTTCCTCACTAACTATGACCATGAACCCATCCGTGCTGGAGAGATTGTCGTCTTCAAGGTTGAAGGACGAGATATTCCAATTGTTCACCGTGTCATGAAGGTCCATGAGAAGTATGTTATTTGTCATTTCTACCATTGAAATATAGAATGTAGTTCATATACAGTAGTTTGACCACATGCTACTATTTGTAGGAAATAACTGCAGAAGTGTTTGTTATTATTAATCATAAATAATCTTTAATGTTAATGCTTGCAGAGAGGATGGAACTGTGAAGTTCTTAACAAAGGGTGACAACAATAATGTAGACGACCGTGGCCTGTATGCTAATGGACAAGCATGGTTAAATCGGAAAGATGTTGTGGGACGAGCGCGGGGATATGTGCCATTCATCGGCATAGTTACCATCATCATGAATGATTATCCAAAGTTTAAGGTGAGGTATTAATTTTGTTTAATTATATTAACTGCTGGCTTGCTTAAAGGTACAGTAAAACAAATTTGCTTTGTATAATATAGTGACTTTCCATAGCAGTTACTTGTCGGCTACATTATAATTTAATGGTTCGTTATTAATTTTGTTGAATATATTTACAAAATAAATGACATTAATGGTTTCTCATATTTGAGGTTTTGTTACTGAAATTAGTATATGAAATGGTAACCTCTTACATTAGTTTGAAGTTCACATGTCTATTGATATCCACTTTGGACCTCATATTTTGGTATAAAGGTAAATTGGCTTCACTCAGTTTCTATAAAAAATTATTTTTCCTTTCAGTATGCTGTATTAGCTGGTTTAGGTGTATTTGTACTTATACATCGAGAGTGAAGATGGTGACAAATCTTGCAATGCAAAGATGATTAAAAGGTTTCATTGGAAAAATATCATTAGCATCATATTCAGATGGCAGATGTATTTGTAAAGACCTAAGGTGTGATTTGAGATGGAAAAGCACTTGTTTAATAAAAATTGGAGTGGGATCTGCAGAATTTAGTTTTGACTTCCTAGAAAAATGTATTTGTCAGTTGCTGTGGCAGGACAGATGCTTGAAATAATATATAATAATGTATATGTATTTTGTGATTTTTTATTAAATTACAGCCAAACAAAGAAGTGAGCAGTGATGGCTTAGCAGATGTACTAAAGCATAAAGCTATAAATAATGACAACTGATATGAGAGTCATTGTGTACAGAGTGCAAAATAGATACATGCCCCTAAAGCATGATGTCTTTATGTAAGTTTGCCTATGCATGCATGCATTCTTGTGTGCGTGGGGGGGGGAGGGGGGTATGTAAATGTGGATGACAATATTTGAATGCTTCACATGTGACTGATTGTTAATATATATTTACATCTGCATAGGCATGCATGCATGTTTGTATACATGTCCATTCTCTCACTCCCTCATATTTACAGACCTTAGCAAGATGTATTGGTTTCAATAAAGAATTAATAATGTGATGGCATCTTCCCCCCTAAAAAATGGAAATCACCTAACTTGGCACAATTGGTATCAGACCAAGAGTACCATTTCAGACATTTACCCAGGTTGAATATTAAATTGTCCCATACTACTAAAATTCGGTATGAAATTTGATTTACATTTCTAAAATTTGACAAGTGTAATCATAGTTTCTGCATCACAGTGTATTGTAAAGGCAAAATTTAATTGCATAAAATGTTGCCACAGTAGATGACTTCGCCTCATATTTTTTGTATTGTTATGAACTAATTTTTTAAGTTTGGAATTTTGAATTGTTGCTTGTGTAACTTCATTTCTGTAGTTATAAGGAAATCAAAAGTAAAAGGTGTCCTTTATCAATGAATTCTGATGCTCAGGTGATTTGGTATAATTTTAAGGAGTAATTTACATACACATGAATTTGAGGTGATGGTGTTTTTTAAATATTGTGCATTTGGGGTATTACATTAAATGGTACTGTCTGATGTTATGAAAAAATCCAATTTTATAATTTGGAAGTTAGTGATCCATGATTTCCATGGCAATTAGAAAATATTACTTTAAGCAGCATACAAGCAGACTTCTTCCCAATCCATGACAGTTTTTAAATAGTGAACTTTTCATATTTGTCTAATTACTCTTAGAGTGTGATAGTGACAATCCCAGTTTCCAACCATTTCAAGATTGAATTATAAATTGAATTGATTGTAAAAGCATTCAGATGTATTTGTTTATCCATAAATACCTCCTAATACTGGTTCACTAAATAAGACAATATTGTACAGGTACACAGTGAATTAAATTGTACAGAACAGAATAAGTGTACTTACCAAGGAGTCCAAATGTTCCTCCACAGGAAATTTAGAATGTGTAGTCAAGTATGGAGGTGGAAATTTGGGGTTAAGCCCAAGATGCCGAGGGTCCATTTCCAGCTCTACCTGCCTATTAAATGTTTTGATATTTTGAACACACCTTTAATCCTTGAAAATTATAAACTAAAGAGTTATCATTCTGGATACTGGAGTATAAGCTCTTCTTTCTGAACTTCAAAATACTGTAGCTTCCAAGTGCTTGTTCATTTCTTGTCTGCCTCTTATCACTCAACCTCGTCAACTTTCCGCTTCTGCAGTAGTTTTGCATCACTTACTTTGAACATAATAGTCAAAGAAAGATCTTATCATTAGCCTTCAAATTGTAAAAAATAATTGTGCACACAACACGCTTCAAATTTCAACATGTTTCTCCTTAGTTTACTGTTTGAATTAATACCAGAAACATTGCCCACATTCTTTTAAAACATGGTGGCAGGATATGTATTTTTATTTTGAATAAAATTAAATTGTGTAAGGGGATGCAATTTTTAATGGCCATGGCAGATTCAAAAACAATAAAGGATCAGACAAAAATTAGGTGGCTGACCAAGTTGAACCACATTTAAATAGGCGAAGGTTGGAAATTGGGATGGACACCCGAGTTTTTCAAATAACATAATTTATACAAAGGATTTTATTAGGGGTAAGTACAGTAATCTATAGGTATTTAAAATGATTAGTCTTTCAATAAAAGATGTACAGGCCAATGAGATAGTCTTGTTGAGTAGTGGAAGAGAAGCATTTATGAATTACTTACTTCACCTTAGTCCTACTGTACTGTATGTTGCATAAATGTTGACTAATGGAAGCATTTATGTAATTTTATTTATTTCATAATGGAAATTTGTGATTATGAAAGTAGGTGGAACATCATAGCTCTATAGTGAAGTCTTATTCCTCAAAATGCAAGTTGGATGCCATGAATAGGCTTGATTGGAGGAAAGCAATTGGTTTTTAATCTGTAAACATTGGTCATTCCTAAATTTAAAATACCATCTTACAGCACTAAATAACAAAAAAATGGCCAATTTTCTTTACACTCAAAAGTTGCAATGGTGATAGGAAGCATGCTGTCTTGAGAGGCACAAGTATATTCTTGGCTTTCATTGGATCTCAAACTTTCCTCAAGTGTATGCAGGTCATAATTAGCATTGTTATTTGTAATATATATATATACATAATATATATTTTTTGCAGTATGCTGGAGGTGTTTTCATGCTGATTAACCAGCAAGTCCTTTCAGAGCAGTAACATAGGTGCAGTACATACTACATTAAAAAAATAGTGAACACTGTATTCTGTATATACATATAAAATCTACATTTCATACCCATATTGTAACTTCGTGAACTGTTGTGAATTTCTAAGTGAATATCTACTGGTTATTCATCTATTCTACATAGGGTATTCTTTATAGATTAAGTTATTAGTCTCTATTTCATACTTTTGTAAGTTTCCTCAGTGTTAATGATTTTGTAAAATAAATATATACATCTTGCTCTAGTTGTATGTATTATTAATGTAAATTTTGGCAAATACATTTGAACTATATATGTTGTTATTGGAGCACGTACTGTATTTGTAAATTGATTATGCCTTTAATTATTGCATTGGAATTCTAGTTGAAGATAAAATAGCAGAAAACATTTTGAAACTTACTGCCAAGGTTAAAAGGCATATTTATTTAATTGTTGAATTAAGAATCACCAGAAGAGTGGTGCTGATAAAATGACAGTATGAGACATTATTTGCTGCCACATTTGTTTAAGATAGTTGTTCAGTTTATAGCTGGGCCCAGAATGGAAGACTTGTACATATTGCTCACAAAGCTTAAATCCCTTATTAGTGGCTAACTTCAGCAATCAGGTGCTCTATCCTCATGGGACTCAAACCTGTATTAATGTGGTCGTGGTGTAGGCTGGGCTGCAATATTATACCAGATTGCATAAAGTACTTTAAAATAAAATTGTTCCCCCCCATTGAAATTATATAACGCAAATTTTAAATGAACGGCAAAATTTTGATAGAATCACTTGAAACGTTTGTAATAATGTGACATAATTTTGATGACCAGTATCTTTTATACTAAGTGCATAACACAGTATTACACTTCTTTAGGATTTCATCTTTTTGATATGGAATGATGGTACACTTTAGGATCATTTATATATGTGACTCGTCCACAAAAATCTCGAGCCTTAGAGAGGTGTTCTAAGTTTTGTTTTCTCATTTATTTGGCTGGGAAAACAGTTCTTACAGAAACCTTACAGTAATTCTTGTAATAGCCTATACATTTTAGTCTTTGAATTGCTAGATGTATTGTTGTCAATGGGAAGTGAAAGCATGCAGAGGTTAAGGGAATGCTGTCATGTGTGGATAAAATATTTTTTAAAGCCTGTGAGTTTTCTTGGCGAGATGGGTGATGAGCAGCATTTTCTTACTCTTGATTGCCTGTTGTTGCTTTGTGTCTGTACAACCAGTGTGTGACATCTTCATTCCATCATTTGAATAAGAATTTTATAAAATTTTGTGTTATTTTCCTATCATTTTACAAATATATCATAGAACAGATATGTACGGTTTAAAATTGATCTGCTGTATCAATTGTCATTTCATTTAATTATTCGTTTACTATAATCTAGTGGGACCTAAATGGAGTAAAACCCTTGTAGTTTAAGAATGATTTCCCCAGTGTTCTAATTCATTGTTTTTTTGCTTTAGCAGATTTATTACTCTTTAAAAGATATCTGTTCTGAACAGAAGCATCTCTCATCAAGAAAGTAAGTTTATCTGGGTAAAATGAGCCAATCATACTGCTTCCAAGAACCATAAACTGGAAGGTTCTGTACACCTGCTGGGTTTCCCTTGAAATGCTTTCAGCATTTGTTTTAGGCCCCTTGAAGGTAATTATCAGAAGAAATAGCTCAGCTCCATGCACATCACATTAAAATCACCAGGATGACAATGTAAGGGACAGAAATATGCCAATCAATGTTGATGTACTTGAATTGAGACATTTGACAGCACGTCATCATACAGATTCTAGGATCTGTCACTTGAAGCCTTGCAACACCACACATGACATGAAATTAGCTACTTAGTTACTGCATTATGTGCAACAAAAACAAACATTAAATTATTCTTATTCAAATATGACTGCACGCCCCGCCCCGACGACATTTCAGGGCGCCTGACAGCTGAGTGGACAGTGCTTCAGATTCGTAGTCCTGAGGTTCCGGGTTCAATCCCCGGTGGAGGCAGAGACAAATGGGCAAAAAGTTTCGTTCACCCATGATGCCCCTGTTCACCTACCAGTAAGTAGGTACCTGGGAGAAACTGCTGCTACGGGCTGCTTCCTGGGAGGGTGGGTGGGGGGGAATCAAAAAGGAGGACTGGGCTGCGGGTACGCTAAACCCCGAAATCACCTCGAGATAACCTCAAGATATGCACCCAATTGATATCATGATGTGACATTGCAGACAGACATAAACAATTTGTAATAGTAGTATTGTGGACATTAACAAGTCCTGGTGCCAGTAATGCAGCTGCAACTCTATATCCAAAAAGGCATCAGTAATAGGCCAAATTGGGATGAAAAGGGGCAATGATTTTGAAAAAAAGAGGACAGCACACGATCATTTGTTCTATAACTGTGTAGACAAAACTTGTTAGGCCAATGTGGTCAAAATCATGTCACTTACCTTTTGAATTAGGTGTCTTGATAAGTTTTGCAGATCATAAGGCACAATAACATGGTTGAAGATGTGATGACCAAACCACACATCAGAAGATGAAGAAAGGATAACGTTTCGGTTCGTCTTGGACCATTATCAAGTCGTATTTATATTAACAAATTTTCAAAACTAAACTAACGTGGGGAGGGTGATGGTAGATTATCAAAGGAACAGCAGACAAGTTTAAAAGTAAAACTTGTATGTATAGGGAGATCAAGTGGTGGAGTCTAAAAATTGAATCATCGTGGGACTTTTTGAACACGGAATTTGGAGAGATGAGAACCGATAGCCAAAAATTACAGAGCTCAGCAGTTAATGAACTCATAAAGAGCCAAATCAGGAATAAATTTACCAGCAATCTATCAAATCTTCCAAATGCAAGGAAAAGGGGTATTGACATTAATACAGGCAATGAAAGATCTACATCGATACTGTAGCAGTACTTCCTTCCTGAGCACTGAGAGTGAACAGCGTGTGTGTGTAGTCAGAATCCCACTACGAAAAATAATTTTCAGTGTAGTGGGGGACAAAGCAGAGGCCAGTAACAAGGTCATGTGAAAGTAATAATGGCCTTTGAATGGACAAGCAAGCAGCTAATTTAATAGTGGCTAATACCATGTACTGTACTATACTAAGTTTCAAGTCGGTCATGTCAAACTGCCACCTAAGAAAAAAGAAATAAGATTATAGAACAAGCCAATGGCGAGATGGTTGATTTTTATGGAGGATGTTATAGTCACACCATTAATTAAAAAAGTATTCAATATGCAGAGAAAGATCACTTCAAGAAGCACGTTCAATAGTCTACAAAAGTTTGTTCCCCAGTACAATGCTGTACTGTGTTTAAAATTGACAAGAACAACCAAAAAACGATAGGTTCTGAATGAGTGCCATGGGTATTGGTAATGGTACTGCACCATACAAAATGTCTGCAATTAAAATCGTCTAAAAGTAATAAAGGTACATATAAAAGTTTTCAAATATGCTTAAAGCCACCAAGGAAACTGTATAATATGACAGGAGAAAAAGTGAATTTATATTGTAATACTATAATTTATCAAGAAAAATACAAATGGCAGTTCAATTGTACTGTATTCAGTTCAATATACAGTACATGGGTTTCAGTACTTGCGCCAGTAATGTTCATCGTCTACTAAAACTATCTATTGGAAGGAATACAGAATTATATGACCATATTTGCAGATGATGCTAAGATACTGGGGAAGATAGAAGATGCAGACAATTGTCATGCCCTCCAAATTGATCTAGATAAAAAAAAAGGGCTTGAAGTGACAAGTGGCAAATGGAATTCAATGTGAATAAATGCCATGTTATGGAATGTGAAATCAGAGAAAATAAACCACACACACCTTACAAATTATGTGGAAAGGAATTACAGAACTCTAAAGAATGAAACTTAGGGGTGGTTTTGGATAGTAAGCTGTCACCAGAGGAACACAAAGAACATTGTGAGAGGAGTGTATGCGTTACTTTCCAAATTTAGAAATGCTTTTAATTATATGGATGGTGAAATACTAAAGGAACTATTCATGACTTTTGTGAGACCAAAATTGGAATATGCAGCAGTTGTATGGTGCCCAAATCTCAAGATGCACATAAATAAACTGGAAAAGGTGCAAGAGCATGCTACAAAATGGCTTCTGGAACTGAAAAACAAGAGTTATGACGAGAGACTAGAGGCGTTAAACATGCCAAAACTAGAAGCTAGAAGAAAAAGAGGTGATATAATCACCACTTACAAAATACCAACAGGAACTGACCAAATTGACAAAGAGGAATTCCTTAAACCAACAACTTCAACTTCACAAGAGGACACACATTCAAGCTAAAGAAAGATCCCCAAAAATTTTGAAAGTTTTCTTTTGCAAACAGAATGGTAGAAGGTTGGAACAAAGTGAGGTGGTGGTGGGAGGCCAAAACCATCAGTACTGTAATGTAATTTCAAAGTGTTATACAACAAAGAGTGGTGGGAAGACAGGACACCATGAGCATAGCTCTCATCCTGTAAGCACACTTAGGTAATTACTACTACCCTTCAGATCGTACCAGTACTCCAGCCATCACCCATGTCATACCAAGACACCAGTCATGAGGCTGTGGCATCACATTATGCAGTCTGCCATATTTATGTCCTAGCCAGATGATATATTTATAAGAAAACCAAGAGAGGTATAGTCATACATAAAACAATTTTAATGCAGCAACACCTGACAAAAATGTTACAGGCACCATACAAAAGGAAGAGCAAAAACAAATACATGGTGATTATTTTTTATTGGTTATTTGTAATTTTCATTAAAAACAATTGAAAAATAAACTGAACAATACCATATAATATTTTTGTAAAGATGGATGGATTGAAGTCCTGAAAAAATTATCCTAAGTTTGATCACTTATTGTGTACATTACTACATCATATGAAACAAGTGCATACAAACATTCACATCTATTGTACTTGGGTCATTTTCTTCTTTCAATCCTAAAGTGTACAAAATTGCACCACATTTTTAATTCATTGTTAAAAATAACAAGATTAATGCACTTACAATTCAGTGACTCCTTTTAAACAATATCAACTCAAATCTTCAAGTGCCACAACAAGTCTTGGGCCTTCAAAAAATATTCACACATCTGGCTGCTGTATGGTGAAGCACATTATAACGCTGCCCGAAACGCTTTGCGTAATAGTGGCTTTAGGCATTGTATGTACTAGCTCTATCTATAAAGCCAACAAACTTTTGTAAAATCTCTTTATGTATGTACCTTTACCTAAATAAAAATTATTATTATTATTATTATTATTATTATTATTATTATAATTACTATAGCATTTTTTCCATGAATATTTTATTCTCAATTTTTCTGCATAGCACTGTATATATATATATATAGTTTTTTTTTATATTTCTAAATTTCCTCTTGTATCCTTATTTCTAGTTTTAACTCAATGTATACCAGTGTGATATCCAGCACTTATTATACAGATTCCTATCCTTAAAAAATGGAACACTATATGAAAAATTATCACATGGTGTTAGACAAAAAGTTATAAAAGCTGCTAATTGCCATTAGGCTTCTAATAAAAATTAGGAATATGATGGCTCAAAAGAAAAATAGCACATACAAAAAACATTCATAAAACATAAAACAATGTTTTAACAAACATCTTTGTTAAAACATTGATCTTCAGAAAAATTGCAGATAATTCAAACATCTTTAAATAACATGTATAGTAAATGTGAATTATTTACCAATTGTATTTTAATAATGACTTAAAAGTAATCTGGCCTAATAGTGCACAAAGTGCTAACAACAAAGTGGAGAGCATGTGTGCCATAAGACGATGCTTTGTAAGCCCTTACATGCAAGATGTCATCTTTAATAATAATATAATCTTTACTTGGTGTTTCTCTACATATAGTATATTCTGAAATATAAACTGGTTACGTAATTAAGGCTGGAGACCTATCAAATGCCAGGAGCATTAAACCGGCAATCCACCCTCAAGCTTAAACTGAATATATGAATATACATAACAATCCCAAATGAACTATAGGATTAAACTCTCAGAAACTACACATCTCTCTCTATATACCCCATTCTTAAATATAAATTTCATGAGCTAAGATATAGCAAAGGTTTCAGAAAAAGTAATAATTGTACATACAGTAATTAAAAATCTCAACATCTCATTGAATCAACATCAGTTTAATAAATATTGTCAGTTTATTACAGTAAATACCCAATGAACTGTTAATGGAGATTCCATGGCAAGTATCATAACTGGACTGCAGTACTATTTTGGAAAGTGTTATTCAGACTATCACTACAATGTTCTTTCAATGACAACTGATTCCTTATCTTCTCAATTCTTTTTCTTCACTAGTACAGTACATTCTATATCTCTTGGCACTTCAGTCTACATAGTGGGCAAAAATGTTTTCATCTCAGTCTCACTAAAAGTAATTAATTATCAATATAAAGCCCTAAAATCAATGTGGCTATGTAACACTGTTTATGATGAACATCTAATACCGTAGTAGATATTATGCAGGATGTCAATGAAAGAGAAGAAACACACAAGACTGTCAAAGGAGGGAGGGACTCCATGAATCCAAGAAAACAACTTTCTCCCAGGCACATGAAACCCAGGGTTCACATTAAAATAAAATTAAATATACAACTTCTTCACCGAGTTGTACATCTTAATAAAATTGTATTTTATCAAGTAGTGATACTAAATATAAATGCAATAAAGAAACAATACTATTTCACTAATAAGTAATAAGAAAATGAAATAAACATCCTACTTCCAAGTAATCTAGCTCTACTGATGTAGAAGTGGTGTCCCATTTAGTTGTTGCATCACTCACCAAGCGGACAGACATCACGTGACTCCTTTACCATCATTGTAGCGAGCTAATAATTGATATTTTTCGTTTGCTTATCATACGAACCAATTTTCATAAAGCTTAGTAGGTGTTTGCAGTGATTATGAAGATATTTTCTGAGCTATATAATTTTTATGTACTGTATTATTCATAAGGGAATACAAATTAATAAAAGATTATGTTTAATTTTCTGTTCCTTTATTGTGCTTTAGCCAAGTAAAACAATTTTGAGATTGGGCACTGTAATGTAATGGGAAACTTGACAAAAATTATGGCCGATTGATCCGATATAAAAAACAAAAACTTCAGAATTACTATTTACTCTTTTGCTTATGTTAAAAAGTGCTATTTTAAATTGTGTGGCTGTAATAAAAATATCTACACTATCAACAGGGTAGAACCAC